TCTCGGGTCCCCGTGTTTACATTGATGTTTCTGCTCTTTAGGATATTCCGCGTTAGCAAGAGGGCAGATTAAAGTTCGTAAATGTAAAGTAATTTTAAACCCTCGAGGCCACAGGACAGACAGTCGTTGATACAATACTCACTTGGTGCAAGAATGCCAAGCTCGAGTTATCAAAGACAAAAACAGAGGCAATCTTCATGAAGCGGGAGATTAAGCTTAGAGGCAAGAGGAACGACAAGGATACAAACAATCCCGAGAATATAAACCACACTTCAGTAGGAAGAAAAACAGGCATGAATGTAAACCGCCTAAGATCACAATAGAGGATAACAGGATGAAGTACCCAGAAGCGGTTAGGTACCTGGGGGTCTGGTTCGGCAGAAACCTTAACATCTCCATGCATATTCATAAACGACAGGCGCAAGCGGAAAAGCTATTTCACAAAATGAGACGCCTTTCGAGAATGTGTTGGGGACTTACTTATCACACCTGTCTAACCATATATAGGGGGTGCTTCCTGCCGGTGATTGCTTATGCGTCTTCGGCATGGAGCAATTTATGTGACGCTAAAGATTGACTGACGCTTGCGGCTGCGCAGAAGGTCGTCTTGGGAACTGTCGCGCACACTCGCGCATCTACTCCGAGGGATGGCCTCTGCGTGGTGGTAGGCGTCTCGCCTATACGCATAGCGATCGGTTTATAACGTATAACAATGTTAAAATCTTTCAAATGACAATACGTGAGAAGAATCGTCGACGCCAATGATGAACCTCAGGTTGCAAACACTTAAGATATGGTGGGCAGAATGGGATGCGTCCGAAACAAGCCGCAAAACATATCACTTCTTCCCAAACATAGCAGATAGACTTGACAATAATTGGATACGCTTAAACAACCTAATGACGCCAATATTCACAGGACATGGTATATTTCGTGCACAATATGCCACCGAGATGGACCCGACTTGCCCTAATTGCAATAGGGATGATACAGTGGAACACTTCTTGGCGCTCTAAAGGCGCGAGAAAATCACGTCGCAAGTAATGCCGTCACTAGAAGTAGAGCCATTCTCAGAGTTATGCCCTGTAAGGCGAGGTACTCGAATAAAACGTCCTTCTCAGAACAGGAAAACTAGGATTTTGTTCCAGCAGCATTAATCCCACAAACAATAGGGATTTCTCGAAGTCCTATCTATCATAGTAGAATTAACTGAGAAGATAAAGATGAGAAAAATAACAAAAAGTCTTTCCTCTGTATGTCCATAGCAACCCCACCCTACTTAAGACTTTAAATATTATTTTACCTTCATTTTAAATGAATAGGTTTTTTTTTTTTTTAAAGTTAAGTTTTATTAGTCAGACAACATTGATACATATCAGTACAAAAACTTACTTACAAAAGTACTCAACTTTCAAAATATATGTATTACTAGCTATTACCATAATAGAACTCTGTTATAAACAATATGTATTTGCAAAGTAACTATAACTGTTTTAACTTTCGGCTAGTCAGACACCGTTGCCAACACTAAGTAATAATCAGGAGATAAAATACTGACTAGTAAAAAACTCTCCATTATATGAATAGGTTGGTAGGTTAGAGGTAAGTTCTCTGTCTACGAATCTTTTGGTGACTGGTTCGAATCACACCAGTTGCCTTTTTCAATGCGCAAGTATACGCGTCGCGGGAAATGCCGTGGCAAAAAAGTAGTATGATAATTTCCCAGAGTTATGCTCTGATAGGCGAGGTACTCACTTTCGTCCTTACGAACGGGGAAGCATAGACTTGTAACCCATTTCTTTACTATATACAATTGTAATGGTTCTACTTACAGAGATTTCATTCCAACTTAGCCAGTTTAATTTGCGCATATAATTATAAACCATAAGTTATTAATTCCTCACAATAATAATTGATACTATTTTAATTGAACAATACAATACACGATGTAAAAATTTTATGTTTATTAGTAGATACTAACTGAATACTTGTTGAAGGAAGTGACTGAGATTGCAAGTTTAAACCAGTGAATAATGCAGCGCCACGATATTTTAAAACGTTCTAAATTAATTTAGATTTGAAATCTCTATTCAAAAAAAAAACCACTCCATCGGTAATTTCTCGGATGGTATCAAATTTTTTAATAGACCAGCTATTAATGACGCTTTCCGAGCAAATTTTTAATTTTAGCCCATGTTTATGTTAAAATAAGAAAAAAATTTTAATTTTGAAAATTATAATCTGCAAAAATCATCTTATAACTTGTATAGAGACACAGTAGTGCCTCGTCGTGACGTAAAAGTAAGATGGCGGTGATTTATGCTTGGCGCACGAGACTTGAATTGAATGAGTACAAAGAAAATGAATGCTTGCACAACTGCTACAGCCTAGCGTCGGTGATCGCGTCTCAGCAACAACTGATTGGCTATCGAGCTGCATCGGAAAAATTCGTGTAGCTCAGAAGCCGGTGTCGTTGACGGGCTCTAATTGGTCCGAGTGATGAGTAGTTTGATTGGTTACCGGAAGGTTAACCAGATTTGAATTGTTAGAATGAGAGGTTAACTATTCAGTAATCAATTACTGAACAAATAAAGTTATTTAAAGTCGGCATATTAATTTTTATTAAAAATTGCTTAGTTTAAAACTTTTGTCATGGAATATTGAATGGAAATGTAGATATGAAACTTTTAAAAAAAAAACCCCAAAGTTGGTATTTACTTATAGGGTATAGATCTGGCTCTTAAGATATGGACCAGGTATTAATACGTGTGGGTGTACAAAAAAAACCGCTAAATGAAAATTGAAATAAATTGTTAGTTTCTTGAAGATTCAAATTTGATTATATAAAAATCAAAAAGAAGTATGAAAAACAAAATTCATTGTATTAAAAGTCACCAAAACTTAAAATTTTTTCAAATACCTCGCTTCCTTCCTCCCTCTCCTCCTCACAAAGTAATATTCTGCGATTTGCAAGCACATGGCCATTGCCTTCGACTTGATTTACGGAGATGCTCACAATTTAGATTAATGGTTTGAGTACATTTAAGTCGATTAATTGACGCTCTGTAATATGAATAAACCCACGTGGTAATCAATTGCGGGTTAGCATGATAAATAGATGTATCTGAGATCAAACAGCTTAAATAATAGGTCGCATTCTACAAAAGTGAAACGACTAAAAGTTGTATTATACTTCAATTAACAAATTAGTTCTTATCAACAATAGTTGAATACTCCGTTACAAAGATATGCAGCTAAATGTGCCAGTTTAAGCCAGCAAGAGTTAAGTTTTATGAAACAACGCTATAATGCAGATACTTTTTGTACCTGTGAATTACTTTTCATGTAAAAAAATGTCCAAATTCAAAACATGTGACCAAAGTTCTTATTTAAATTATACCATGACTGCACTAATTTGGCAATTTTTTAACTAGCCTGTCTGTTTTCTTCCTGAGTCAGATTACCATTTATTTCTGTCATTAAATTTCCCGATGAAAACCTTACGTCTGTCTGCATCACAAAAACAGCAGATACATACGTAGGTGGCAAACTTTGGTCAACATACATAGGTCTGCCGTCAGTCTTACGTTTATTTGGCTTTCTGGTAGGTTTAGTTTTCTTTTGACTTCTGAAAGAATTCGTCGATAAAATTTTTTTTTTCCAATCTTTACTAAATGCTCAATAAGGAAGGGCTAAATATTAACAATATTTGTATATTGATAGCGATATTTAATTGTTTATAACAACATTCGATTGTTAATAACAATATTTAATTGTTATTAACAATATTTGATCATTAATACCAACATGCATCAATCGAAAAGTTAATTTATTATTGAAATTATTCAATGCGATCAATAATTAATTTCTTTTATTATGATATTTATTTCTATATTATTACTAATTTAAAAATTCTATTATTCAATATCAAATTATTCTAAACTTCTGGAACTTTCACTTTTCATTGCTCGTTGATTAATAATTTCAATAATTCAATTTTCGATTTTCCATTATTTTTTAATATGTAATTTCTGATTTTGTATTAATTTTTAATTGATGTTCTTTATTTCTCAACTAAAATTTTCTGTGTAATTTGTAATTTATTTTGAAAATGTTGCGAAAGAAAATAATTTTGCCCATCACTAAATCATTGTTCAAAAAGTAAAGATATTAAAACCAACATATCTGTTTACTACTATCACGTATACATATGCAGTGGCGCTCAAAATTATTTTGACAATCATACTAGTTAAATTTATTAAGGGCAAACAAAAAAACAGAGATCAGTAAGTTACATTATTGAAAGATATTTAACATTCTACGAAATAGTGATGAAATAATTTTACCACTTCATCACTACCACCTCCATATTTAACAGTGGATACTTGATAACGAAAATCATATTTTTGGGACGTCGAAGTTTTTGAGTGGACGTCTGTGTATGTGAATGTGCGTGTGTTCGGAATTATTTTTCGCGTAGATTATCTTGAGAACATGAGTCGAGATGTCCCGAAGAGTTGAAAATACATGAGTTTTACTGTTCATGTATTTTTGTCTTCTTAAGACAAGCAACACAACAGATTTGAATGATTGTTAATTTTTAATTTAAAAATCTACTAAGTAGCGCGAAATATTTACCCAACGTTTTGTTTGTATTCCATATAGTTGATAAAATAATCGCGAAAAACGTACGATGTTCAAATTTTTTTAAATTATATAAAAAAATTTTTTTAATGAACCGTAATCTATATCACTCCCAAACACCGTCTTTCTTATATTCGAAAAGTCCCATTGAAATTTAATCAGCTGCTTCAAAGATGAGTGAATAGATGACACAAATTTTTTTCAACGTTGCTTATTTTATTAATAGTGTGTCAATTGCCATATAAACCTAAAAATGCCAGTTATTACAATATTACAGACAGAAATCTTAATTTTATTCGTACTTATAGTGCAATCATTTCAAAAAATTAATAAATGTATTTTTATTATTATTACAGAAAGAAAAAGATTTAGAATTGACTGCACGAATTGGAAAAGAACTTCTGACGCACAACCAGCGATTGGAGATCAGTGTTAATACCCTAGAGGCTGAATTAAAGGCTGCAAATGAAAAAATAACTCAATTAAGTCATGAATTAATCAAAAAGTCTGAATTAATACAGATACTAACAAATGATGTTGAAGAATCGTGTTCAGAGAACGGAACGCCTATTGGCATTCGGAGTATTAATTTGGAGTTGATGCAAAAGCGAATTACATCGTTAGAAGATGAAAATAAACAGTTGAAAAATGAATTTACACAGCTCATTCGTGAGACTGATCATTGTGAAGCACAAGAAGCAAAGTTGGTGAAAGATATTGCTAGTCAATTGGCAAATGCAAATATGGAAGTTGATGGCATTGCCGAAGAACTTGGGAGACAGAAAGAAGAAAATAAACTTCAATATGAACAAATCATTAGTTTAAGTTCGAAATTAGCAGAAACTGAACTCAGACTAGCACACCTAATAACGGAACATGATGAAGTAAATGCTACGCTTGCAATTACACGTGAAAATCAGAATATTCTAGCTGTGGAACTTGCAAATTTTAAAGATAAATATGCGGAAGTTGTAAATTTATTAGCAGAAACTCAAGAACAGCTTCGAAAGCAAAGAAAAAAAGGAATGCCAACTGTTAGAGGAGGTGCATTTTTCCCTTCGATGGGTGCAGTCCCTCAGCCTGATTCAATTGCGTTAGAACTAGAGTCTTCTCTTTACTCTGAACTTAGCTTAGATTCTGGTATTGTAAGTGATCGGATTCCAACTTATAAGAAAGTATTTGATACTGTTAGAAGTGCTTCAAGAATTTCTTATGGAGATGCTAATCAATTTCCAAGAATAGGATCAATGACAACATTATTATCAACAACATCAGGTCCCAGAATGAGCTGTGGTCCAACCAAACCTCCTATAGTTTCAGAACTCTCTAGTTTTGATTCTACAGGTCAAAGTGATAGTGAAGGGTCATTGTTGACTGATTATGAAGATTATCCGGCTCCTCAACCGCCAGGAGTCCCTGGAGCTCCTGGTGCTGCTGATCTTGAAGCTGCTCTCAAACGACTTACTCCTGCAGAAGTGATTGCAAGGCGAGCTTGTTTAAGTACCGGTACTGGTTATAACTTTGACTATGACGGTGGAATTACACATTCTCCTCCATTCTTGCCATTTGGGTGTCGTACACCTGATAGTATTATGTCTACTGGAAGTTATGGAAATTTAAGTGGATTTAGTGGAAATACATCTAACTGGAGAATACCAGAAAAGCTACAAATTGTGAAGCCAATGGAAGGATCACAGACGCTCCATCATTGGTCTCAGTTGGCTACCCCTACGCTTGGAGGACTTTTAGAAGATAGACCAGGCGTTAAAACTCGTGGAGGTCGAGGTTTAGAGGATTTAGGATTAGAAACATTTACTTTAGCTGATTTAGAAGAAGATGAAGAATACACAAATCCAGGAAAACTTTTCCAAGATACTGGATCTGTGTACACATTAACCAATAGTACAGTTTTACATCCTGAAGATTTAATGCATGTGACATCAACTGTTGTCGGAAGTCGTGTAGCAACTGCACCTAGTAGTGCAATTCATTCTGGTATGAGTACGCCTGGAGGACTTTCAAGACGTAATTCTACATCTACGTTTTCAACAACTGTAGGATTGGCTAAAATGCTTAACGAAAGAGGTATCAAAGCAGTAACACCATCTTCTGGAACTATACTCAGTGAAGATAAAAACTTTACACCGACTGCAACACCTTGCAATAGTCCAGATGGTTCTCCTGATATTTCTAGAGCTACGTCTCCAGCTCCCGATGAGAATTCTTTGCCATTTGCATTATTTAGTAGTGGCGCAGAATTATTAAGGAAAACGTTTAGTAGTGATTCGTCTCAAACACTACAGTTCAAAAGAAAACGAAAAACTATATTTTCAAAGACTGACAACAAAGCTCTTGGAGGAATTCGACTTGTAGAAAAGCTTGAAAGAATGGGTATAGAAACAATTATGGCAACAAATATAAGCTCATCGATATCTCCATTAGCTCTTCAAGGTGCTCTTTGTACTAGAAAATCGATAGAAAGTCCGATGACTCAATTGTTCCTCAAAGGGTCTATATCTTCAGACAGACTTGAGTCATCTATTAGTTCAGGGAGCAGTGAATCTTCAATAAGTAATGAATCCTTATCAAAACATAGTGATATTGATGATAAAGCATTTGGATCTACATTCAGAAGTCTTCATTCACGAGTAAATCAATCATCCAGACGACGAGGTGGTATTGGTGCTACAAGATCAGACCTAGGAAAAGTAAAATCAGCCATTCCACCGGCAACTACAAAAGAATCTACAGCTCAATCGGCATTAGGCACTCTTAGTTCACTTTTATTCGGTCGTAAAGGCGGACTTCTTTAAAACAAAATTAGCAGTTCATATTATTGAATGGTAATTTTGAAGAACGTATGTGATGTTTCAATTGTAGATAGTGAGAATTTTTGTATATATCTAAATTTTGAACTCTTTTCAGATGAGAGAGAGTACAAAAAATTGGAAGAGCGTTAGGGAATGGTCATAGAATACCTTCAATATAAGTGGTAATTTAGAAAATTACTCAGAAAATGTTGGTTGGTACTTTGTTCGCATTACGAAATATTAAAAATTTTTTTTCTTCAAGTAAAAACCCCAGTTCAGAACATAAAGCAATTAATCATCTATTTCATTCAGTACTTTACTTTCAAACATGAAGATATACTATGACAAGAAACTTTACCATGGGCTCTCATATTGTATTAGATCCTAAAGTAAAAATTTCTCCTTTTAGAGAGGAAGTAGGGAAAAAGAATCACATGGTTTAATTTTAGTGAATAATTTCTAATTCATAAATTTATTACGGCTATTATTGCAGTACAACCTCTTTTATATTCATTACTTGAGAATCTTGTCTTTACAAAATAAGCAGTATAATAGATGTAGTGCTCAAAATTTCAACCTGCCACCAATCAACTATTTATGCGGGAGGCATCTTTATCGTTCTGTCTCTTTTTCCATGATTGGAAAGAAACTCATAGTATGTTGGTATAATAGAAACAACATACTTTTGCTCTTAATCTTTTCTATAGCTATTTTTGTTATTGCACAATTGTAATAGTGAATAAAAAGACAAAAATAAAGTAAAAAAGGAATTAAAGAGAAAGAAAGATAAGAAAGATTGTACTGTGTTAATATTTAAAGTTATCGAAATAATTAGGTATTTTGTTCAGTGTTAAAATTCATAATTTAAAAAATAGACTTTTTATTTATCTTAAGTTTTAATAGATTAGAAAAAAATTTGATGTGTGAATCTACATGTTATATTTAATATGTGATTTTTCTTCCCCTCCTTCATTTCTTCAAAATAAAGGACGTTATAATCTAAAATATGTCTTTATTTTTTGAAAAATTGCACGTATAGTTATTAGCTGAGTTTGCATATAAATTTAATCACAACAAGCAAGAATAGTTTCGTAAAGTATATGTCAGGGTAATGTATTATTAAATAATTAACACATGTAGAATAATGAATACTAATATCTTCGATAAAACAATTAAATTCGTAATTTTTTTTTTTATCATAAGTAAAATTTTCTTTAAGACTATTTACAAAAACAGTTCGTTCATGATATTCTAATTTTGATATTTATTTATTTATTATTACACATAGAAAAAAATACATATTTTTAAGAATTATTTCCAAAATGGAGTGATAACATGTATAAAAATGGAAGAGATAGAAAGAGACAGAACAAATATTTTTGTCAGTGCAGCGTTGTAAATAATTATGTAATTTAATCATTTTAATTAATCATTGAATTGAAAATTTTTTAAGTATAAATTAGGAAAGAAAATTTGTAGAAGAATGCCGTCATTTTGATAATCGATGCTTTCACTTAAGTGAAATAGGCCTAAAATTAAGACGATTTGATGTAAATTAAATATTTTAAAAAAATGTTAATAAAATTATTAGCAACTGAATATCTTCAAGTACCTTTATCAATTATGAATGTTTATAAAATATATAAAATCTATATATTCAAATCGCAAAAAATCGATAGAATTATTAATTAATTTGAGTACATAAAATAAATATATACCAAAAATTCTTCTTATCCATCACCAAATATAGTTGTCTAATGGATGATTACATGTTAGTAACCTTTTCAGTAACAGGAGTTACCATTGGCTTTGAAACTGAGCGCTGTGGTGAGTAAGTCCATATAGCCGTAAGAGCAGGTAGAGTAATAATTCAAATTCTTATCAAGCTAGTCCTGTCATAATCAGTTCCAGATTTGGCTCATAAGTAACAGCCCTCACTACAGTAAACTATATTTGATGCTTCAATACAACATATTTCTTTTCTCAAGCTCCAAGCTTTGCTCTCCCAACTCGGATGAATACACTAGAATTGAACCTCAATACTGTAGTTTTCGCTGTTATTACAAGTTTGAGGTTCAAATCTCAGCTATTTACACGATGTTTAAACCTCAATGTCCTCACTTATTTCTACGAATCCATAATAACTGAGGATATTGAGGTTTTAAAATTAGTGTTAGCAACACGGGTGGAGATTATTCTTAACGATAATTATTTCTTTTATGTTTCAAATAATTTGAATAGTAGTATTAATAATTTAGTAATTGCAGTTATTTCATTTTTATTATTATCGCCTTCCGGTTCGTCCAAAGTTTCTGGCCAGGGATCTTGAGATATTGGAAAGTCAGCTGGTGTGACAAGTCATGTGTTTCAAGATGACGATAAAACATACTATGTAAGGACTTTGCCATATATTCGTCGAGCAGTTTTAACTGCTCGGTTGTTTTTATATCAGCCTTTCGCTGCCCTCTGGTCAATTGCAAAAGCCTCAAACCATCTGGGCTGCTAGGGTCAAAAACTGAGCCGAGGTTCTGCCCTGCCTGATATGCTGCTCTATATAGGAACGCATCCCTTCCCAATAGTTCAAAGCTGTTCACGAACTTGAAAAGAGGATCAGAGCTCTCATAGATGTCATAAGCCAGGCCTATCACTAACCTGTCATGTAGACACTCCAAACTTGGTAGTCCACGCTCTTCTAGATCACGGGGAAAGTATAGGCGTTAGACAAAAAATCGCTAGTGATGATTTCGGTGTAATGTCATCACTTTCATTTTTATTATTATTATTTAAATCGTTTAAAACATTAAAGAACTAATTATTCTTAAGAATAATCCCCACCGTATCGCTAACTCTAATTTCAAATCTCCAATTTGATCATTTAAATTATTATTAAATAATTAAAACTATTTTTTATCCATTTAATAATTTAATATACAAATTATGATTATTTTTTTATTTTTCTAAAATTATATTAAAAATAATTGTATGTTCAGCAGTTTCTATTTAATTTTTATCATCCGTATGTTTTTCACTGAATATAAATGGATTCATATATATCGCGATACGTGGAAATACAAAAAAAAATGAATGATAATTTCTTATATCATTTAACAAAATCTTTATAAGTACATTATGACTGAATCTGACATAAATATCATGTGCTATATACGTATTTGAAAATGATCAATAAAATAAAAATAATGTTATTAGAATAATTTTGTTTTTTACCTCCGAATTTTGATTTTGAATATATCATCACAATAACTTTCTAGTAAATATATACTTAAAATACAAACGATTGCTAGATATATAATATTAGATAATATTAGATGTTCTAGGAATATAATATTGTATGTTCTCATGTGAGAACAGTTAATCATGCACTAATATACACTGGATTTAAACTACAATATCCTCCATGAGGATTTTGACGTTTAAAAAAGCCTTAAGAATTGTTTTGAGGATATTAAGATTTGAATATCATATAAATAGCCAATGTTTACTCCTTAATATCCTCAGTTGAAGAAGCTGAGGTTTAGAATGAATGTATAAACGAAATAGTCGGCGAATGATCAAATGATTCAAGGCAGTAGAGGTTCAAATGTAGTGTATATATCTAACTCACACTTCTCTACAGAGAAGCCGTACACAAAGTATTAATATTTTCGAAGAATCGAATTTTCTACAAAGAAGTCCGCGAGAGCACCTGTCTATCGTGGACAGGTACAATGTACAGCCAGAGAAGAGAGACGTAAATAGAATCACAATGCCGTGTTCCATTTGAGGATCACCCCAGATCACCCCAAACCGCAAAGTTACCACCCCATCCGCCAGACGGCGATACTGTACATGTAAGCTTCTGTACCCTAAAACCAGGTGGCGACAGTGTTCTTGGCACAGTCACGCCTACTCCCCTCCAAAGATGCGCACGCATAGAAAAAATGCTTCGCGGCAGAAAGAGCCAACTTGAATTCTCAGATTTTCTGAAATTCTTGGAAAGTTACAACTCAAAATTATCGATTGAATTCATTGCTTTAATTGATATATCAGTATATAAATTTGTTTGATTTTTGTCGAGAGTGCATACAGTGTATAAGTGATTGTGCATTGTGTACGCAAAAATGCCAGCTACAAATATATGTGCATTTTTCAAATGCAAAAATGTGTCATCGAGGATGCCGCATCTCTCGTTTCATCGCTTTCCTAAAAACGAAAGGTAAGTTTTTGAATCACTTTTCATTATTGACAGCTTTCGTCTTAGTTCATTGATATATTAATCAATGGATATTAAAAAATATTCGTTCCTGTATATAAATACTTCTTTAAGTATCTTCAACAACTTTATACATGTTGAAGAAAAGAACATTTTAAAAAAATTTTTTTTTTTTTAATTAAAAGGGTAGTTGGTTAGTTAGATATAAGTCGATCAACTTTTTAATTAGTATTTATTTTTTACAAAAAATTCATTACAGCATTTGAGTGTTATTATATCACGATTTTTTAAGTTTTTTGAATCGAGTTACTTTGATGAAAGTGAAAGTAGTAATATAGAAAGATTTTATAATCAATCAATTTTAATCAATGATATTATCAACCCTCTCTTTGTTTATAAATAATTTTTAAAATAATTGTAACGTTCCTATAAGACATGGGCCAAGCTGTTTTTTTCATTTAAACTTTTTTGTTCATTCCATGGTTTTCCCCAGTCTCCAATCTTTTAAGCTGCTTTAGATCAGTATTTGTACCAACCATTATGTTTATGTGTAACAATATTCCTACAAAATGAGTTCAAATACATTTTTATGAATCATTTAAGTTGTTTAGTTAATTATAGTTTTTAATATAAATTTAATGAAACAAATAAATATCGATGTTATTAAAATAAATAATTGAACCTTTGCATAAATAAAAAACAAGAAAGGTATAAAGTTGATGATATTAAAATATAAAGCAGATCGTCTAATGAATAATTATGACATTTATAATTACAGTAATTTATATTATAATAAATACCTATTGTTGAATTAAGAATTATTAATTCGATTGTAATTACCTTTATTAACACTAATTTATATTTAAATGTAAATATAGTAATAGGGGAAGTAAAAAAGTATCAATACAATTATTATTGCTAAAATATGTTAGAATATATAATGTTGAATTTATAACAATTTTGTTATACAGCTTTTATAAAATGATAATGTTGCAAATACAAAAGAGAAAGAACAATGTTTATTTTAATAAATCAATTGAAGATGAATTATATAGTAGTTTAATTAGTATTTAAATCGGAAAGGATTTTTATTTAGATAAAAAAAAACAAATAATATTATAAACATTAAGATAATATTAACAATATAAACTGCGACCTTTCTCCATTCAGCTTACCCTCTCCTAGTTCCGATTCATGCTCGTCTAATTTCGCGCTTCCAGATTTGACAGCTTCCGACGCGATGAACCGTACCGATGTTAAGAGTTGCGAAAATATTTATCTGTTAAAAAAGAAAATAGCAACGTTAGAAGAAAAACTTAATAATGCACAGAAAAGCATTAAAAATTTAAAACGTACTCAAACCGAGAAGAAACCGCGAACCGTAACACCTACAACCATTTTACAAGATGCCGCGAAATATTTAAATAAAAATCAATTGTTGTTTTTAAAAATGCAACTTATTCGTGTTACCAAGAAAAAAACAGAATGGACGCCATCCGAACAAAGTTTTGCCACTTCACTCTATTATGTCTCGCCAAAAGCCTACAATTTCCTTCGCGATGAAAAAAAAATTACTCTCCCGTGTGTTGGGTCTATACGTCAATGGATTAATAATCTCGAACTCGCGACAGGTTTCAATGATCGTTTGTTTAACATAATAAGCGATAAAGTTAAAGGTATATCTCCTGAAGAATGTGACGCGGTTTTGACCTGGGACGAAATGAGCATTAAAAAGCATTTAGAGTTCAATTCGAAAATTGATTTTATTGAAGTCTCGAAGATCTCGGTGAATTAGGGCGAAAAAATAAAAATGGACAATACGCGTCAGTTTTTATGATTCGTGGTCTTAGATTTTCGTGGAAATCACCGGTTGCTTATTTTATATCAGGTCAAAGCATTAAAAGCTCGACATTAGCAGATTTGATCAAGGCTTGCATCGTAAAATGTTTTAAAGTCGGAATCAAAGTTCGGTCAAGCGTATGTGACCAGGCAACTACATACTGTAGAGCTGTCAAAATCTTAGGCGCTAGTGAATCTCACCCCTATTTTTTGATTCAAAATCGCAAAATATATTTCAATTATGATATATGCCACCTAATAGAATCTGTATGAAATCGGTTAATTGCAAATGATATTTTAATTGGCGACGAACGAATTTCATGGAGAGCGGCCGAGGAATTATTTAACATTGAAAAAAATAAATCTTCGAAAGCAGCTCTGAAACTAATTTCAGCACATATTTATCCAAATAATTGGCAGAAAATGACGGTTAAATTTGCGGTTCAAGTCTTCAGCGCGTCAGTCGCGGCAGCACTAAAAACCGGGTCAATGAATGGAGTATTACGCGAACCTGCATGCATGTCAACGGCAGATTTTTGCAAAAAACTTA